ATGACGGTCTCTTGCTTGTTTAACAAACTTACACATAAAAATACACAAAATGCTTAAAAATTGGTTATTTGGAGAGCAAAATTTCTGTTTAATATAACAGAACAACCGAATTGGAGGTCTTCTAGTCCAATCCCCTGCTCAACCACAAAACCCTATATCGTTTCAGACCTCTTCTTAAAAACTTCAAGTATTGGAGCATCCACAGCTTCTGAAGCAGTAGTAAGTTTCTACCGGTTCATCCCGGTTCGTGAGAACCAGTAGCAGCAGTGATGAGAGGCTCCGACCACCCACCGGATGTCATCACAGACGGTCTGTGCATGCACAGGTTCTGCACATGCACCGATGCATGGGCTCAAAGCACAGGGGCGCACACAAGCGGTCATGATAGCGAACCGGTAGCGAAGGTAAGTGGAACCCACCACTGTTCTGCAGGCAAGTTGTTCCACTGATTAATTGTTCTCAACTGTCAGGAAATTTCTCCTAGGTTGCTTCTCTCGTTGATTATGCTCTCTACATGGGGCTCCCCTTGAGGTGCACCCGGAGGCTCCAGCTGGTGCAGAATGCGGCCTCGCGGGGGATTATGGGAGCCAGGGGGCGTTCCCATGTGACACCTCTCCTGTGTGAGCTGCATTGGCTTCCGGTGGTCTTCCAGGTGCGCTTCAAGGTGTTGGTCACCACCTTTAAAGCGCTCCATGGCATCGGACCTGGGTATTTGCGGGACCGCCTTCTGCTGCCAATAACCTCCCACCAGCCAGTATGCTCCCACAGAGAGGGACTCCTCAGGGTGCCGTCAGCCAGGCAATGTCAGCTGGCAACCCCCAGGGGAAGGGCCTTCTCTGTGGCAGCACCCACCCTCTGGAACAATTTGCCCCCGGAGATACGGAGGATACCAGATCTCCCGGCTTTTCGCCGTGCCCTAAAAACTTTTCTTTTCCATCAAGCAGGGCTGGCATGAACCCCCCCCCCTTTCTGAGATATTAGATTTTTAATTGTCTAATGGGTTTTAGTTGTGAGGTTTTTAAATTTTTGGCCAAAGTGTATAATTCTTTTAAATTTTTAAATTTTGTATTGAAATGTTTTTTACTTGGCTGTGCACCGCCCTGAGTCCACTAGGAGAAGGGCGGTATACAAATTTTAAAAAATAAATAAATAAAAATTGAAGGGGGTGAGGTTGGAGTAGGTGATTTACAACTCTGTTTTTCTGAAATCTTGAGACCCTGCTCTCTATTTTAAAAAAATATAGGAGAAATAACGTTGTACATCATCCCTAACCATGCAGGAATAAATAAACCAGTTCTTACACACACATACACCTGCATTATTGGTCACTTTCACAGGCTACAACTGATCACCATGCTCTTCTATCTTAACAACTCCGGCAAAGGCCAGACTCCATCTTGGGTGCAGGTGCTCAGTTTCAGGTAGGCCGAATACCTTGTCCTGCATCTTGACCCTCAAGTCCATCTGCTCCTAGGATCAACAACAAGGCACATAAACATGTTTTCCCCTTCAGGTGTCTGGAGAGTATTGCTAAATGAGTAGTATGGTACTTTTTCTTGCAATTGTTGGAAGAACGGGAATTTTTAATATATCCCCCGTAGATCTCAATCCTCAAGTCTTCCAAGATAAAACCTGCTTAAATGAAATAAGGACTGAACTCTGCCAAAGGATCTAGAGATGTCACTTTAGTCTGTTTTGCAAAGAAGTAATTTTGTGTGATCCATAAAACGTGACTCCATTTCCTCTTCAGTGATGACTTGAACAAGGTAAGAGAAAGCCCACTTGATATTAAGGCCACCAAGAGTCACGGTCTACTTCTTCTGTGCTAAAAACCTTGATGAGATTTTTTTTTAAATCATGATCTAGAAGGAAGGTGAGAATAATGAATGGTCTGCTTCTCTTGCTGCTTCTCTTTTGGCTCCTGCCTTCAACAACTTGCAAGATAATGCAAAGTGTTTGTGCACCGAGGAACCCTTTGCGTACTGTGAAGGATTATTACAGGCCTGGAGATCTCATTATTGGAGGGAATTTGCTCCTGGAAAAGTTTGCTCCCTTTAGAATGATAAAATTTGACCGTAAGCCATCGAAGAAATCAATCCTAAGAAGGTATGTTTCACCTGGAAGGGAGTGGGTTAGAAGAGTTTCTGCTTTGTTTGGAAATAGAATGGAATAGAATAGAATAGAATAGAATAGAATAGAATAGAATAGAATAGAATAGAATAGAATAGAATAGAATAGAATAGAATAGAATAACAGAGTTGGAAGGGACCTTGGAGATCTTCTAGTCCAACCCCCTGCCCAGGCAGGAAACTCTACACCACTTCAGACAAATGGTTATCTAACATCTTCTTAAAGATTCCCAGTGTTGGGGCATTCACAACTTCTGGAGGCAAGTTGTTCCACTGATTAATTGTTCTAACTGTCAGGAAATTTCTCCTTAGTTCTAAATTGCTTCTCTCCTTGATTATTTTCCACCCATTGCTTCAGGGAACTCCTTTCAGAAATTCTTGTTCTAGTGATACTGCAAGGTCAGCTTTAGTTCAGAAGCTTTGGTGTTTTCCTAGATGAAGAACCATGCTCATAAAATAGACTAAATATTCCAGTTTAATCAGGAACTTTATTTATTTATTTATTTATTTAGCGTATGGCAAAAACATGGACTTATAGTAGGGGTACTGTAGGTATGAGAAAGTGTGGTGGCTTTGTGAAGAAGTTGACTTAAAGCAGGGGTGAAATCCAGCAGGTTATGACAGGTTCTGGAGAACCGGTAGCGGAAATTTTGAGTACTTCGGAGAACCGGCAAATAACATCTTTGGTTTATTTATTTATTAGTTCGATTTATATGCCGCCCTTCTCCGGAGACTCAGGGCGGCTTACAATGCATTAAGCAATAGCCTTCATACTTTTGTATATACCTGCTTAGTAGGGCTTTCAGGCCCCCCTAAGTGGTGTTCTTTTTTATACAAAGTCAGCTTATTGCCCCCACAATCCGGGTCCTCATTTTACCTACCTCAAAAGGATGGAAGGCTGAGTCAACCTTGAGCCTGGTGAGATTCGAACTTGCAGTAATTGCAGGCAGCTGGTGCTACTTAACAGCACTTTAGTCTGCTGCGCCACCAAGGTTGGTCCCAGAGTGGGGTGGGAATGGAGATTTTGCAATATCCTTCCCCCAGGAGTGGGGAGGGAATAGGGATTTTGCAGTATCCTTCCCCTGGAGTGGGGTGGGAATGGAGATTTTGCAGTATCCTTCCCCTGCCATGCCCACCAAGCCACACCACACCACGCCCACCAAGCCATGCCCACAGAACCTGTAGTAAAAAAATTTGGATTTCACCACTGACTTAAAGTATTAATTTGGCCAGAAAGTCATGGTGAAAAACTCAAAGAGAAGGTCAATCCATGTACACTGTGGAGGCGTTGTGTGAAAAGACCATGGAATCATTTGTGGGGTTTTTTTTGTAAAACTACCTTGTGGCCTCCAGTAGAGTATTGTGAACAGCAGTGGTTCCCAGAGCTGAAACAGCCTTCGAAAGGACAATCAAACTGCCAAACCTATTTAAGATATTTCTCACATTAATGAGTCATGGCTCTTTAGGGTTGCAAATGTGGTACTTCTCATGATCCATGGTTTCATGGCAGTACCATCCACATAACCTTCTTAATCACATTTTCTTGTCCAGTGGCTCGCAACATATGGATTCATCACTTCCAGTGTTGTAGGAAATAAAACGGAACCAGGCCAAGCTCTTCGATGCAGGAAACAGTTTATTTGTGCATGGTTCAAACAGTCCAAAGACAGCAAAGGGTCTGAACAATGATGGCTGTTTTTGGCCAGATATTTATACAGTATAAAGGCAAAGTTATTATGAAGAGTGAGACATTTCACACGTAGAAGTTACCCTTTAATCTATCTCTAGGAAAGACATAACAGCCCTTTTCCCACAGGCTCAGGTTCTCAGCTCCGGAGCTCAAGACATAATAAAAGAGGAGATAAGGGGCTCAAAGGTGCCTCAAGAGCAGTAAAGAGGACAGTAAGGGAAGCAGTATTTCTTCTCTAGGATATACATGACATTTGGGGTGTAATAAACATTAAACAACAGGATGTATCTGTTTAGGGTCAGTTTGCCCTTTTACAATTCTGTGCCTATGTCAAATACCTTTTGCCATCTTAGCACCTTGGCACGGAAGAGGCACTTCTGTCTTGACCAAAGATTTGGATTTCTAATATCTGAGTTTTATCCCAATATCGAATCTTAGCCTGGCTCACCAGGAGAACACGCACAAAAACGTACTCAAGGAAAGGTGAATTCCATCAACACAAAAAAGCTTTTGTGTAATCATCCCAGGGGTGAAATGCTCCCGGTTTGGACCGGAACGCCTGATCTGGTAGCGATGGAGGCGGGTGGTTTGGAGAACCGGTAGCAAAAATCCCTGCCCACCCCCCCAATGCCCAGCTGAACCGCACGATCATCAGAGGCCTTTTTTTCCTTTTAAAAGCATTTTTTCTACAACCCCTTCAGTGGAAAAAATGCTTTTAAAAGTAAAAAAAAAAGCCTCTGATGATCGCGTGGCTCAGCTGGGTTGGTCAAATGCTTTTAAAAGCCTCTGATGATCCAAGCTGAGTTGCCTGATCGGCAAAGGCTTTTTTTCTTTTAAATGCCTCTGACGATCCAAGCTGAGTTGCCTGATTGGCAGAGGCCTTTTTTCTTTTAAATGCCTCTGACGATCCCAGCTGAGTTGCCTGATCGGCAGAGGCTTTTAAAAGAAAAAAAGCTTCTGCCGATCAGGCAACTTAGCTGGGATTGTCAGAGCCTTTTGAAAGCATTTTTTTACAACCTCTTCGCCAAAGAGGTTGTAGAAAAAATGGTTTTAAAAGTTTTTTAAAAAATGGCCACACCCACCCAGTCACATTACTCCCCCATCAAGCCATGCCCACAGAACCGGTAGTAACAAATTTTAGATTTCACCACTGAATCATCCCCAATGTTTTCTCATTACAGCACTACGTTCAAGAATTACCAGCTGTTCCTGGCCTTGGTCTATGCAGTCACAGAGATCAACAAGGATGTTACTCTCCTTCCCAACATCACACTTGGCTTCCATATTTATGACAATAAGGACACTGTTGTGAGAATTTCCTGGAACAGCCTCTCTCTTCTCTCGACCCGAGGCCAAATGGTTCCAGATTACAAATGTGACAAGCAGGACACTCTGCTCTCTGTCATTGGCGGTCTCAACTCCCAGTATTCAAGGCAGATGGCCTCCATCTTCAGCACCTTCAAGATTCCACAGGTAAGGGGGTTCCATGGGATACCAGAGAGAGGACAGATGCAAGCACAAAAGCCAAAGATGAAACCAAATTAACTTGGGGAAAATCAGGACTACATGAATTTGAAGAACTCATGCAAGTGATGAACTTATTTTAGGCTGCATTAACAGTGGGATACTAAAAAGCATATTAAAAAGCAGAGACATCACCCTGCCAACAAAAGTGTGTATAGTCAAGACTATGGTTTTCCCAGTTGCAATGGATGGCTGTGAAAGTTGGACCATAAGAAAGGCTGAGTGCCAAAGAATGGAGGCCTTTGAGCTCTGGTGCTGGAGAAGACTCCTGCGAGTCCCTTGGACTGCAAGGCCATCCAACTGGTCAGTCCTAGAGGAGATCAACCCTGACGGCTCTTTAGAAGGCCAGATCCTGAAGATGAAACTCAAATCCTTTGGCCACCTAATGAGAAGGAAGGACTCACTGGAGAAGAGCCTAATGCTGGGAACGATAGAGAGCAAAAGATGAAGGGGACGACAGAGAATGAGATGGCTGGCTGGAGTCACTGAAGCAGTCGGCATGATCTTAAATGGACTCCAGAAGATGGTAGAGAACAGGAAGGCCTGGAGGAACGTGGTCCATCGGGTTGTGATGGGTCGGACACGACTTCGCAACTAACAACAACAGAGGGATTGAATCAAGATCACGTGAAGTGTTAATACCACTTTATAATGCCCTGGGAAGACCACACTTGGAATATTGCATTCAGTTTTGGTGACCACGAGATAAAACAGATGCTGAGACTCTAGAGAAATGAAGATAATTAGGGAACTGGAGCTAAATCATGTAAAGAATTGTTGCTGGAATTGGGTATGTCTAGTTTAATGAAAAGAAGGACTAGGAGAGACATGACAGCAATGTTCCAATATCTCAGGGGCTGCCACAAAGAAGAGGGGGTCAACTTATTCTCCCAAGTGCCTGAGGTCAGGACAAGTAGAGGAGCAACCTAGAACTAAGGAGACAGAACAATTAACCAGCGGAACAACTTGCCTCCAAAAGTTGTGAATGCTCCAACACTGGAAGCTTTTAAGAAGATATTGGATAGCCATTTCTCTGAAATGGTATAGAGTTTTCTGCTTGAGCAAGGGGTTAGATTAAAAGACCTCCAAGGTCCCAATAAAGAATTCTATTCTATTCTATTTTCGTACAATATTGAAAAATGAAGATATACCGTGAGTCGAAGAAATAATCAAGAAGATACTAGATTGTGCAGAAATGTGTACAATTGTACTTATATATATTACATATTTTCACTTTGTTGTGATTAGTATTGTTGATTGTATTTTAATGTTGTGAATGTTTTATATAATTTTATCTTTTTAAATTTAATAAAGTTTGTTTTTTAAAATCAAAAAAAAAGAAAAGAAAGAAAAATGAAGATATACCGTGAGTCGAAGAAATAATCAAGAAGATACTAGATTGTGCAGAAATGGATAGATTGACATTAAACACGAAACAGAAAGAGGATGTAGAATATTATCAAACATGGAATTTATTTTACCAATGGTTGGAAAAGAGGGATAGAGATTAAGAATGTGAATTTGTATTGTTAAGCAAATTAAATACCCAGACAACACAATGTTTATTAAGCGCTAAAAATCATATTTAATAGTAAATCAATTTTTTAAAAATCTTCTTTTGTAATGTGGTAAACTGGAATCTTATCATTGTGAATCTGCATGTCTGACATGATTATTAAAAAAAAAAAACCTGCATGATGATCTTTAACCTCAGCATAAAATATGACCTTGTCATGAAAAATTAATTTCTAAAACAAGACACTTCCTTTTTTGCAGCTCGGTTTTGACTTCCTCAAGTTCACTCAGGAAGACAGAATTGTTTTTCCTTCCTTTTTCCGAATTAGCCCCAATGAATTTCTTCAATATAGTGGTTTAGTCCAGCTGCTCCTGTATTTCCAGTGGAACTGGGTTGGGCTTATTGCCCCTGAAGGTGACAGTGGAGAACGTTTCATCTCATCTCTGAGTCCATTGCTGGAGGAGAAGGAGATCTGCCTGGCCTTCAGTCAGCTGTTGGAATATGAATCTTACGGTTTTGCAATGTCAAAATATAGTTCTTTAATTAAAAGATGGTTTAGAGCTGAAGTGATCATTCTGCTTGGAGAATACAAGTGTATGGTAACTCTATATCTCTCTCTGCATTTGTTTGAAATATGGACGAAAATTGCATTTAGAAAGGTTTGGATCCTGACTTCCCATTGGGAAATTAGTATGTATCACAAGACTTTGGAATTTAAAAAGCCCTTCCACGGTGCTTTGCATTTCATGGATCATAGCCATGATGTCCCAGAATTCCAGCACTTCCTTTTGTCTTTAGACCCCTTGAACCCAAAAGGAGATATCTTTCTCCCTCCATGGTGGGAAGATGTCTTTGACTGCAAGATCCACAAACCAGGAGTGATCCTTCAAAAGGAGGAAAAACAATGCACAGGAAAGGAAAATGTACAGAATCTGCCATCTTACATATTTGAAACTAGCATGACAGGTGAAAGTTACAATATCTACAATGCCATTTATGTCGTGGCACACGCTTTGCATGCGATGTATGGAGCACGACCAACCATGGTGAGGCTTGGAGAGAGGATCTCCAGTATACAGTCATGGCAGGTAATTTCTCTAAATTTGATCTGGTCCACAGATTCTTAGAACTTCTCATGGGTGTTTCTTGGTTAATTCATTAAATATTTCCATGCCACCCCATCTAACTACATCTGAAAACAAACTAAATCAGCAATTAATGAAATATGCTAAAACAATGATTTGATGAAAAAGGGATAGATAACCGAACCAGTTCTTGATAACATTGACAATGGTCCTGAATAATCTTTAATAGTTAGTTTCAGAGGATGAAACTCTATTTGTGGAAGGAGGTGTCAGCCCAGAGGGAGATGATAATCTGGGTGTCTGTCTTGAACATGCTTGCCCAGGTCAGGAGAAGTCATACTGGCCACATTTGCGGAACCAGCAAAGTTACATTAGAATTTAGTTAAGGGGTGAAATCTAAAAGTTTTCACTACTGGTTCTGCGGGTGTGGCTTAATTAGTGGGTGGGGCTTGGTGGTCAGGTGACTGGGTGGGTGTGGCTTGTTGGTCAGGTGGGCGTGGCCAAATCGACGTCACTTCTTTGCCCTTTTTTAACCTACAAAACACAACACAACACAACTGGCTCACCCACAATGTAAAAGCAGCTGTGCTAGACCCAAAATGGCCCCTGCAACAAGCAGGAACCTCACACAGCCACAAAAAGCCCAAAAAACCAACTTTCACACTTTACACACACACAACACAACACAACACAACTGGCTCACCCAATGTAAAAGCAGCTGTGCTAGACCCAAAATGGCCCCTGCAACAAGCAGGAACCTCACACAGCCACAAAAAGTCCAAAAAAAACAACTTTCACACTTTACACACACAAAATTCCACATACAGCTTTGTGAGATTTTGTGTGTTTGTGTAGTTAGAGTGAAACACTACAGAAACACACAAAATCTCAGAAAGCTGCACAAATATTATTTTATTTTATTTTATTTTTATTTTTATATAAAAGCAGCTAAATTTAAAACTTCCTAAACTTTAAATGGCTGGTCTAAAAAAAGAACAACTAAAAAAACCCCCAATTAACGATTTATTTTAAAGCTCCCAAAGGGGAAAAAAACTTACAGGCAGGCAGGCAGGCAGATAGAGCTGCTCACTGATGAGCTTGTTTTCAAGCAGGAAGATTCAGTTGCTTGCTGATGCAATGGATTGCAGGAATTACAGCAAGTGAAGCAAGGCAGGCGTGCGAAGGTAAGCAAGCTGGAGGCTGGGGGGGAAGGGATTTTTGCTACCGGTTCTCCGAACTGCCCGCCACCATTGCTACCTACTCGCCCGAGCCGGTCGGAACCGGGAGCATTTCACCCCTGATTTAGTATGAATGCAACCTGTAACAAGACATTAAGCTCAATTCGTTTTAGCTTGCTTCAATTTTTTAATGCCTTAGGATTCTGTGTGAACATTGACCATTTATTTAGTACACCATTTGTTGTACTGCTCACTTATGGGAAAACAGAATAGAATAGAATAGAATAGAATAGAATAGAATAGAATAGAATAGAATAGAATAGAATAGAATAGAATAGAATAGAATAGAATAGAATAGAACAGAACAGAATTCTTTATTGGCCAAGTGTGATTGGACACACAAGGAATTTGTCTTGGTGCATACGCTCTCAGTGTACATAAAAGAAAAGATACGTTCACCAAGAATCATAAGATACAACACTTAATGATAGTCATAGGGAAACAGAGCTTGGAAACTTCACCAAGACAAATTCCTTGTGTGTCCAATCACACTTGGCCAATAAAGAATTCTATTCTGTTCTGTTCTGTTCTGTTCTGTTCTGTTCTGTTCTGTTCTGTTCTATTCTATTCTATTCTATTCTATTCTATTCTATTCTATTCTATTCTATTCTATTCTATTCTATCTCTTATGCCCCATGAATAGATTCTTGTGATTTGATGCTGCTCCAGATCACTCAGGTATCCATCAACCATGCCTAGCTTTAAAGATTTGTAATTATCTCCTAAAATGATGGTCACCAGAGAATGATAGAAGCCAGAATATCTCATTTCTAATTACCCCACTTTCTAAGGTCTCTTTTCTTTCAGCTCCTTGCCTATTTGAAGAACATCCGGTTCAACAATAGTGTTGGAAATGAAATCTTTTTCTCAGAAGATGGACTAGGATCAGCTCAGTATGATCTTCTCAACTGGATTTTTCTCCCCAATTGGTCTTTTGTCTCCATGAAAGTTGGGCAAATAGATTCTGGAGCTCCTCCAGGCCAGGATTTCACCATCAACTCCAATGCAATCATCTGGTCCGGAAAGGTGAGATAGAAAGAAATGTTCTGAACTCAGGGAAAAAGTTGTTGGGGATGCTTCTCAATGTTAAAAAAAGGTTCATTGAATCAGAAAAGAAGGAGTGGTGCAGTGGCCTAGAGGAAGAGCTTTTGCCTCACAATCAGGAGTCTGTGAGTTCGATCTTAGGTAGAGGCAGATATTTCTCTCCCTGGGCACAACGAAAATATATCTGCTGAACAAAACTCCGCATTGGTGTCAGGAAGGGCATCCAGCCAGTAAACACTCTGTTAGCTCAATTCAGTTGCCCAGACTCCACCCCGCAAGGGATTATGGGGTTGTTAAATGATGATGATGATGATGATGATGATAATGATGATGATTGAATCAGAAAAGAAGGCAACTGTCTGGTTGAATGATCTGCTTTCCACGAAACAGATTCATGTCTGATTTGTGCCATTTTCAAGAAGGGTTGGGATGGGAGAGGGAATCTGGTTGAAATCCAGATTACAAGTCAAGAAGGCATCAATCAACTCCATTGATCATTCCTGTTTAGTTGGAAGATTATGATTCTTCCTTTGAGGAGAAGCTATAGTTCAAAGGCAGAGAGCAAGAATATAATTGCAGGCAATCCTCACTCAACAACCATTTGTTCAATGACCGTTTGAGGTTACTGAATGACTGTTACTTACCTCCCATCCTCAAAGTTATGGCCACTGTGGTCATGTGATCAAAATCATTATCTTCCCCCATCTCTGCTCTTTGACCCCCATGAACTAGGTAAGAAAAACCAAAAGCACACATATAAAATGGGGGAAACCAGGCTTAATAGCAGTGACTATGTGAGGGATCTTGGAGTCTTAGTGGACAACCAGCTAAATATGAGCCAGCAGCAAAGAAAAGCCAATGCAATCCTAAATTGCATTAACAGAGAGATATAATCAAGATCAAGTGAGGTACTAATACCACTCTATAAAGCTTTAGTAAAGCCACACCTAGAGTACGGCATCCAGTTTTGGTCACCACGCTATAAAAAAGAGGTTGAGACTCTGGAAAGAGTGCAGAGAAGAGCAACCAAGATGATGAGGGGACTGGAGACTAAAACATACAATGAACGGTTACAGGAACCAGGCATGGCTATTCTAGTGAAGAGAAGGACCAGGGGAGACATGAGAGCAGTCTTCCAATATTTGAGGGGCTGCCACAGAGAGGAGGGGGTCACGCTATTTTCCAAAGCACCTGAAGGCCAGACAAGGAATAATGGATGGAAACTGACCAAGGAGAGATTCAACCTAGAAATGAGGAGGAACATTCTGACAGTGAGAACAATCAACCCATGGAACAGAAGTTGCCTTTGGAAGTTGTGGGAGCTTCATCACTTGAGACTTTCAAGAAAAGATTGGACTGCCATTTGTCAGAAATGGTATAGGGTCTCCTGCTTGGGGGGTGGGTTTGGACTAGATGATCTATAAAGTCCCTTCCAACTCTGTTAATTTTCTATCCTCTGCTGCCCCTACTGGATTTTGACTTCTTCTTCCTCCCACTGGTGATGATGCATGACCAGCTTGACCCTTTGTGAAGCAGTTCCTGGCCATATAAGGGCTTCTTCCCTGGGACATACATGGTGGTTAACTCAGGAGACCTTGGGAAATGGCCTTGTGTAGCCAGGAGTTTCGTCCCAAACAGCCTGGCTGTCCATGCCACATTGGGAACAATAAAATGATGAAGGTCGGTTGAGGTGTTGGAGTAGCTGGGGAATCAGAGTGCAGGGCAGGGGTGATGTTGACTTACCTTCGCTACTGCTTCACAAATGTGAGCACATGCGCAAGACTTCTGCGCATGTGTAGGACCTTCTGGGTATGCACAGAGTGTCAAAAACGGGACACGATGACGGGTGGGCAGAGCCTCCCACAGCCACCACCACTGCTTCACCCGAACGGGTAGAACTGGCTGAATACCAGCACTGGTGCAGGGTGATGAGTTATCCTATAGCTGGGTCTTTGCACCATCTTCTTCAGACAGGATGGCTGGGACTTTGCAGCTGAGCTTTAGCAATTGGGGCTTTGCACTATGAGACTATGCTGAGTGGTAAAGGACTTTGTGCTGTGCTGGGACAGCTGAGACTTTCTGCTATACTGTGGCTCAGGGGGTTATTAAGGTTCATTAAGTGAGGACTACTTGTAACTGCCTTAATGAGAGATGTTCCAATCCCAAGTAACAATTGGTTAGCTGGCAATGCCACTAGGAAACTTCCCCAGGAATTCCTTCTAGTTGATGTTACACTATGGTGAATCAGTTCTTCTAAAGATCTTTTGAAGACAGAAATATGAATGTGGAGATTTAATGATGCATGATCTTTCATTTCATTTCATTTTCATTTTATTAAATTTGTATACCGCCCTACTCCCGAAGGACTCAGGGTGGTGAACAGGCACAAAATAAAACACATAAATATAAAAGTTAAAAAACATGATTAAAACCCAATTAAATAATTTTTTCCCAAGACAATTAAAACTCCCAATAATTTAAAACGAATTAAAATTTCAATTTAAAAATTTAAAAGAAGGGGAGAAAATTAGGCCAGGCCGGCCTGCTGGAATAGGAGTGTCTTCAAAGCACTGCGGAAAGTGCGCAGATCCGGGATCCTCCGTATCTCCGGGGGGAGCTCGTTCCAGATAGTGGGTGCCCCCACAGAGAAGGCCCTCCCCCTAGGGGCGCCAGTCAACATTGTTTGGCTGACGGCACCTGGAGGAGCCCCTCTCTATGAGAGCGTACCGGCCGGTGGGAGGCTGTTTGTGGTAGTAGGCGGTCATTGAATAGACCTTCTCAAGTATTTCCCTTTTCTCTTTCAGAAGGTGCCCTTTGCCAGGTGTGGCATGAAGAGGTGCCATGCAGGGGAGAGGAGAAGAGTTCCAGAGGGCAAGCAGGTTTGCTGCTACCAGTGTGATGCTTGTCCAGAAGGGACCATTTCTAATCAGACAGGTAGAGTATGCTGGAAATGTAGAACTTTCAGGATCAAGGAAGCCATTTAGTAGATCAATATATTAAGAAATTTTGATTCTTTGGTTTCTGATAGGTTACACTGGAAACAATATAAAGAATAAAATATATTTTGATATTAAAAATTTATCTCACTTGAAATATCTAGGCCTGTCAGAGAAATTCATTAAATCTACTTATGTCTGCAAAAAAAAATCTCACTGAATGATGGGAAAAAGTGATTTGAAATAGAGAAATTCCCTCTCCCACCTCCTGTTACATGTGTGTTTGTGTGTGCGTGCCAGATGTGGTATTCCGCAGGTTCTAACCAGTTCTGGAGAACTGGTAGCGGAAATTTTGAGTAGTTCAGAGAACTGGTAAATACCACCTCTGACTGGCCCCACCCCCATCTATTCTCTGCCTCCTGAGTCCCAACTGATCAGGAGGAAATGGGGATTTTGCAGTATCCTTCCCCTGGAGTGGGGAGAGAATGGAGATTTTACAGTATCCCTCCCCTGACCGAGAGCTCAGTCAATCCTCTTAGGCTCCCATTATAACATGAGGGGGAAAAAATCAAATGCCAACCTTTCTCTCACAAAAAAGCCAAAATAATGTCCGGTGATTGGAGAGGGAGAGATCCTAATCTCTGAGCAACTGATCCCACTCAGGATCATTTTGAACCAACTATGCTTTGTTTTTTACAGAGCACCATAAGCTTCCCAGGCTGTTCTTCCATCTCTTTGTTATTGAGTTGGCCTATGTGGAAAGGAGTCACATCTGAGATATGAGGCAGGAAAGATAATTCTCACTGTGGAAGCCCCTGAAATCCTTAGACAAAGGTTCTTGATTTCAGATGCAGCTCACTGTGACCCCTGTCCAGAAGACCAATACCCAAACATGGACAAGGACCACTGCATTGCCAAGAAGATCCACTTCCTTTCCTATCAAGACACCCTGGGATATGCTTTAAGTTCTCTCACACTTTCTCTTTCCATTACCACCTTGGGAGTCCTGGCAATTTTCCTTAAATATCGTGACACACCGATCGTCAAGGCCAACAACCGAGATCTCACTTACCTCCTCCTGGTCTCCCTCCTGCTCTGCTTCCTCTGCTCCTTCCTTTTCATTGGTCAACCGAGGAAGCTCACCTGTCTCTTCCGACAAACTGCCTTTGCCATTCTCTTTTCTCTTGCAGTTTCCTCTGTCTTGGCAAAAACTGTCATGGTGGTTCTGGCTTTCATGGCTACCAAGCCAGGGAACAAGACCAGGAAATTCTTAGGAAAATCACTGACCAATTGCATTGTTGTATCCTGTCCTCTTGTCCAAGTAGTTCTTTGTGCCATCTGGTTGATAAACTCTCCCCCATTTCCTAACTTGGATTTCCACACCTTGATAGGAGAGGCCATCTTGGAATGTAATGAAGGCTCAGCTTCCATGTTTTACACTGTCCTGGCCTACCTGGGTTTTCTGGCCCTGGTGAGTTTTATCATGGCCTTTTTGGCTAGGAAGCTGCCCGACAGCTTTAATGAAGCCAAGTTCATTACTTTTAGCATGCTGGTCTTTTGCAGCGTTTGGATCTCCTTCCTCCCCACCTACCTGAGCACCAAAGGGAAGTCCATGGTGGCTGTGGAGATCTTCTCCATCTTGGCCTCTGGGGCTGGTCTCTTGGCTTGTATCTTTTTCCCCAAATGCTTCATTATTCTTCTGAGGCCCCATCTGAATTGTAAAGAAAATATGATAAGAAACAAGAATCTCTAACTCATGCAGGGATGGGAATGATATTTATCCTTGAGGCATGTTTAGTATCTGATGATATTTCTAAAACATGACAGAGAAGAAGAAACAGATCCATTTAATAATGCCTTACTCAAATGCTAAAACTGGTCATAATAGGAGTGGATTGGTTGAGTTGGGTAGATGTGGAAATTGAATGAATGAATGAATAAATAAATAAATAAATAAATAAATAAATAAATAAATAAATAAATAAATAAATAAATGAATGAATAAATATTTCTGTTTTCAGCAATAATCATGCAGTGTTTTTCATTTCTTTTTTTCTTTTTTTATTAAAAATTTTATAGAGAATACAAACATTTTCACCCCCCACCCTTCCCCCCTCAACCCCTCCCTCCCCTTTCCCACCCCCCCTTCCCCTTCCACCCCACCCCCCTCCCTAGACTTCCCAGAACAAGCACAGGTTATAGCATTCACAAATCAAAAGCTAAAATATGCTAACAAATTATTACGTTTCATATTCTCCCTCGATCCTTAACTCCTTATAATTCAAAAAACAAACATAAATTACTTAAAATTACTTCATTCATATGCTATATGAATCTTCTTATTCGGATACTTCTTCTGTATGTAATCGATCCATCTTCTCCATTCCGATATGTATCTTTCATTTGAATGGTCTTTAAGATATGATGAAATTTTCGCCATTTCTGCCAAATGCACAACTTTTAATGTCCATTCCTCAATAGTAGGTGGATCTTCTTTCTTCCAGTACTGTGCCACCAGTAACCTGGCAGCTGTTATTAAGTTCAAAACCAACTTAGTCTCTGTCACAGTACAATCCATAACTATTCCCAACAGAAAAAACTGTGGTGTAAATTTAATTTTTTTCTTTAAAATGTTTTGAATAATCCACCATATTTTTATCCAAAAAGCCTTAATTTTTTTTACATGTCCACCATATATGAAAATATGTAGCATCTTTACACTCACATCGCCAACACTTAGGTTGTACATTTGGATACATACAGGCTAGTTTTTTTGGATCTAAATGCCATCTATAAAACATTTTATAAAAGTTCTCTCTTAAATTTTGGGCTTGTGTAAATCTTACATTTCTAACCCATATCTTTTCCCATGTTTCCATCATTATTGGTTCTCCTATATTTTGTGCCCATTTTATCATACAATCCTTGACTAGCTCTCTTTCTGAACCTATTTCCACTAATACATTATACAAGCTTTTTATATGCCTTTGACTTTTGTCTCTTATTTGTTTTATCAAGTTCTCATCCTGTTGCAAAATACCAATTTTCTGATCTTCTCCCCATCTGGCCTGCAGCTGTCCATACTGAAACCAAGTTCTAATTATTCCTTCTTCTCTTAGTTGTTCCATAGATTTTAGTTGTAGTCTAACTCCTTCCTTATAAAGAATGAATGAATGAATGAATGAATGAATGAATGAATGAATGAATGAATAAATATTTCTGTTTTCAGCAATAATCATGCAGTGTTTTTCATTTCTTGCTTTCTAGTTGTCCTCAGTGAGACCAGTGCTTTATGTAGAAATAAAGCTTGATGTTCATTATTTCAAAGTGGATATTTTCTCATTTTATTCCTTTTCATTAAATATTTTACCTTTTTCATGTTTTAAAGGGTTTGTTTCCATCTCATTGTTTTTGAGCATATATGCTTGCTTTTATAGCCTCCTGAGACTTTGTAGAATTCCATGCTTCTATTTATTTTACTTTTTTATGGTAGAACTTAAATTCTCAACTATTCATCCAATACTGCTGAACTTCCTCATCAATGTGACCATCAGATCTGCCAGCATGTCACTTCAGCTTCACATCTTGCCAAAAAAAAAAGGGGGGGGAGTGGGAATAGGGCAAGGGAGCGTAAGGGGGGAAATGACAGGAATCAGAGACACCAATCGGAGACAACGGTTGAGAGATTCAATGACATACTCATGAGAAGAGAATACAAACCTCCACCAATAAGGTGCCAAAACCAGAACTGTTACCAAAACAATTGTTTTGAATGCTAGTGGACACTGACCAGATAACCAAAAGTGGGAAGGACCTGAGAAGACTTGGGAGAAGGAAAATACACCAAAATTGCACGGGAATATTCAGATCTGGCTTTACTTAGACTGTAACCACTTCACCTTAGTAAGAGTATACCTTTTCTCTATTAAGGGAATCAAGGGTCTTTCTTTCCTAAGTGTCCAAGCTGAGACTGGCTGATAGTGGTGGATTTTCTGATTGGGATGATAACGTCACCAGTATACATATTGCTTTAACCATCTCTGTGTTATGTGTGCTATATGACAACTGCATTCCTCTAAAGTCTGCACAGTCACTCAACGCATGATGGTCATCCCAGCTTGTTATACAAAGCCAGAAGCATGCCTTTTATTCCTTTTAATTGAATTCTAAAAAATATTTTAGCGTTTTAAAGGATTACGTTCAATGTGAGCATTTGCTTCCTGAGGCTTTGTAGAATTCCTTCCTACTATTCAATTGTTTTCTGAAAGAAGCAATGGATCAGAACATAATCAAGGAGAGAAGCAACCTAGAACTAAGGAAAAACTTCCTGACAATTAGAACAATTAACCAATGGAACAACTTGCCTCCAGAAGTTGGCAATGCTCCAACACTGGAAGTTGTTATGAGTATCATTTGTCTGAAATGGTATGTGTGTTATGTGTGCCTTATGACAACTGCATTCCTGTAAAGTCTACACAGTTCACTCAAGGCATGATGTTATTCTGGAACTTTTCCCCTTCACTCTAACTCTGTCTGAACAAACTAAGGCACAGGCCAGATTCGATCTTGGGGGCAGGTACTCAGTTTCAAGTAGGCCGAATACCACCTGTATCCTGACCCTCAAGTCCATCTGATCCTTGCATCATTAAAAGATACAAACATGTTTTTCCTCTTCTGGTATACAAAGAGACACTATTGCTAAGGAGGGTAGAATGTTAGTCTGCCTTGCAATTATCAGAAGAACAGTAATTCTTAATGTATCCCCTGTGGATTTCTACCCAGAAAACATTTCCAAGATATAACCTGCTTGAAAAAAAAATAATTTCTGGGCTCTCCAAAGAGAGGCTAGACATTTCTTCTCAACGTGTCTTGCACAGAAGTAATTTCTTGCTGACAGTGAAACTTAACAGGTATCAATTTTCTCTTGGATGACAACTCAAACACAAGTAAGTGGAAGCATTCTTGATATAAATTTGCCCTGAAGCCACCCAAGTTGAATAGACTGCTGTGTTAAAGTATTAGTGAAATTTCCTGGGGACCAAATCCAGCTCTTGATGAACATACTGTCAACTCTGAAGCAGACCTGGCTGAAGCCATCTTTTGCTGCCTCATAGCTGCCACGAAGCCTGAGAGGGGAAAGGGAGGGGGGAAGTTTTATTCTTTTAGTTTTAAAACACTGGATGTTTTTAAGAAGATGTTGGATAACCGTTTGTGTGAAGTGGTGTAGGTTTCCTGCCTAGGCAGGGGGTTGGACTAGAAGACCTCCAAGGTCCCTTCCAACTCTGTTATTCTATTTCTAATTAGGTGAAAACCGCAGGAATGTTCAGAGTTGGTTTTCACCGGCTGTGCCGATATGATGTATCCAATAAACATGTTCTTTGAGGAATCTACCTGCCTCAGAGTTCTCCTTTCAATGGGTGCATTACTCGGAATGCTGACACATTGATTTTTGATTCAGGAAGGAAGGTGAGAATCATGAATGGGCTGCTTCTCCTGTTGCTTCTCCTTTGGCTCCAGCCTTCAACAACGACTGATAAGATAATGCAAAGTGTATGTATACTTAGGAACCCTTTGAAGATTCTGGAGGACTATTACAGGCCTGGTGATCTCATTATTGGGGGGAATTTGCCCCTGGTAACCTTTTTCACTAGATCTATAGTATTCTACAGTGAGCCATCACAGAAGCTACTTTTAAAACGGTATTATTTATTTTATTTATTACACAAATTTATATGGCCGCCCATCTCACATAACGGTGACTCCGGGCAGCTCATAACTTTAGAAATCTGCAACATAAAAGCCCATATATCTCATCTATCCATCCCCATCCCCATGGCAGCAGCAATTTAACAACTCAATGCCTTGTTTCATCTGAAGGGGAAAGAGGAGAAGATTGTCCTCTTTGTTTTGGGTTCAGGGAGTCCTCTCAGAAATTATTCTTCTAGTGATGTTCACAATGTTCTGGTAAAGTTTAGAAGCCTTGGTCTTCCCCAGATAAAGATGCATTAAATAGGCTAGAATGTTCCAGTTCCATCAAGATAAAACTGCATAAATATTGAGGAAGGGGTTACAGGCTAGAAACTGTGCCGACTGAGTGAAGACTAATAGAATAGAATAGAATAGAATAACAGAGTTGGTAGGGACCTTTGAGGTCTTCTAGTATAACCCTCTGCTTCAGCAGGAAACCCTACAACACTTCAGACAAATGGTTGTCCAACATCTTCTTAAAAACTTCCAGTGTTGGAGTATTCACAACTTCTGGAGGCAAGTTGTTCCACTGATTAATTGTTCTCACTGTCAGGAAATTTCTCCTTAGTTCTAAGTTGCTTCGCTCCTTGATTAGTTTCCACCCATTTCTTCTTGTCCTGCCTTCAGGTGCTTTGGAGAATAGCTTGATTCCCGCTTCTTTGTGGCAGCCCCTGACATATTGGAACACTGCTATCATGTCACCCCTAGTCCTTCTTTTCATTATAATTTTTATTTGGACAGAAGGTCATGGTGGAAAACTCAAAGAAAAGCCTAATCCTTTTACAGAATGGAGGTGTTTTTAGAAAACAGATTTAGCACTGTTTTAGTATTTGAGGGGCTCCTACAAAGAAGAGAAACAATAGTTGGAAACTAACCAAGGAGAGGAGCAACCTAGAATTAAGAAGATATTTCCTAATGGTGAGAGGAATTAACCAATGGAATAGGTTGCCTTCAGAAGCTGTGGTTGTACCATTGCTGGAGATTTTCAAAAAGAGACTGGACAAC